CAAACTTATTAGTGCAAGCAATGTGACCTTTCTCCACTCCTCAACCACCTCTGACTAGCCTACCATCACCTTTACTGTGTAATATAATATTTATTGTGCTATTGTTGAGGATTGTAAAAATGGCGTGCTGAGGGCGCTCAGCCTCCTCTAACTTCACTAAGGGGCAGGAGAATAAATATCTGTAACAACTACCCAGGCTGATTCTGCGAGGCAGAGGTCAGACAAGCCTCCACCATCAGTCTTTTTACCAATTCTACCACCAACCGTACCTTCCGCAGCACTCTCTCCTTCTCTGTGGGATTTGATAAATCACAGGGATAGACACACAGAAATCACAGACAATACTCACGAATTTTAGTAACAGGTTCAAAAATAACTGAGGGGACAGTTCTTCAATCAAGACAAGCTCCTCTCAGCTATGCACACAAACACCCCTCTCTCCAGCCTGGCCATCTTGCCTTGTTCAGGCAGGTATTACAGCGCGCTCTTAGCCCTGCTGGATCCAGCAGGGAGCCGCCTGCTGGAAGGCACGCAGCTTTCTTGTTCTTTGATCCTAGAAGAACACTATTCAGCCTCCGGCTTCGGCCTCAGTGCCATTTCTCATAGTCTCTTGCTTTTGATGATGTCACAGCTCTCTATCTCATGCACTGAGAAGATTCAGCCTAGAGATCTCAGGTCCAAAGGATACACCCCCACTAAGGACTCTTCTTTCTGGACAGGAGTGCCATCTCTCTTTCTACCTCTAAAATGACTTCTTTTAAGATAGATGGGTTTAACTGAATATAGGAAGCTAGGAAAGAGAGTATTGTGTCTATGGTTCCCCCTGTTAAATGTCCGTTTGTCCAGCCTGAGGGCTGACGTCAGGAAGCCTTCCGAATAGCCCAGCATTTGAATCCCTTGACGACTTCTCAGAGTCTGTGCCCTCCCTTTCCCGTTCCCTTTGTGTTTAAATCAAGTGACTACTCTCAGCCTTCCACAGATGACATCCCTGATGTGTGCAAACACACCTTCATTTTCACGTGAATAAACTGCCCACCTGCAGGTATATATGGACTCGTTTTTCTTGCCTACGAAGAGAATTTCTTTGCTATCTTTCCAAATATTTATATTACATGAATCTTCAAGCCTATCTGATAAGAAAGGCATCCTGATCGGTAGAGTGCAGAGGCAAGGAAAGACTGGAAGGCCTTCCACGGGAAGGATTCACCAAGGGGCTGCAACCGTGGGCTGGAACATAAGGAGCGCTCCGAGGATGCGCGGGCCGGGCAGTGTTTTGTCCTGCTCTGCTGTGAGTCCGCACCCACTTGATGGCACCTAAACACAACACTAAAATAAAAACAAGGCCTAGGCTGTTCCTTACTTTGCAGTTTTCTGAAAGATTACTATATACTACTACTAGCAAAATGGTCATTAAAAATGCATGGCAAGGCTGTTCAGTGAAATGGAATTCCATAAAGCATGATAATATTAGCAATCCTAAAGTAAAGTCCCTAGAGCAGATGGTCCTAATTATACTAAAAACACAAATATTTACACAAACCAGTTGGTTCCAGCTATAGAATAACTCAATTAAAAGAGTGCTTATAAGTTAACAGTATGAATAATAGTTAATGCCAGAGGAACAGTGAAACTGCAAAGAAATACCAACCTATAGTGTCTGGGCCAAGGAAACAGGTCTAAATTCCCATTCCTTTCCTCAGAACCAGTAGGAAAAGTGTTCCCTGAATCAGTTGAGACTACAGTGACTATGCCTTTAAGGAAAACACACACGGGTAAAAGAGAGGAAAATATCGAGGATGACTTTCT